GCATTCCTGTTGCCATTGTTGTCATCTGGCTTTTAACTTACAGGATACAAAAGATTTGCAGGAGTACTTGCTCATCTGATATACTTTACTGGTTGGTTCTTCTAACATGAAACACCGTTTTGGTTGTTCTTTTGAAACTATTTTGAAATGTTCAGGGTTTTTTCCCTTGAATTTTGCACTGTCCTCAAAAGCAGTTTAATCATTTTATTCTGACAGATATTTGGAGCATATGCTACACATCCTTTCAGGTTTAGTGACCATTACTATGGCACTGGTGAAACATTCCTCTACACATTCAGTCCAAATTTCAAGGTAAGTTGGTGTTCGCTTTCTCAAATAAGGTTTTTGGGTTCCACTTCTGAAACACTCATGAGATTTTTATGAAGACAGTATATTTGAGTTTAGAAGATGCGCCAGCTGTTGATGAATGCAGTTAATCATTCATTGCTTCAATGCGATGTTTTAAGCAAAAGTGGCTGTAATTATCTGAAGTGCTGAGAGGACAGTCTGTAAGGGTGAGGAGCGGGTTTTAAGTGGATTGAAGGGGGAAGCAGAGAGGATTAAGGAGTGGACTGTCAAAGACTCACCTTGGAAGGCAGTCATATCAAGAATAGGGAAAATTTCACAGGTGCTTAGGATCAGAGTGACAACAAACCAGAGATAAGAGTGCTACTGAAATGCCTCTTAATGTTCATGGCTTATGCATTTTTCAATATTGAACACATTGTTCCTTTTTAACAGAATGCCTGTTGATTTAGAGATGCAAGCAGAATTTTAAAAAGGGTTAGGGTGCCTTGTTCATAGTTTTAAATATTTACTGTTCCTTTACTTTATACCTGTTACCATTTCCTCCTCCCCCTTCAAGAAATAAAATAAAATAAAATATGACCACGCCAAAAAATACAAGCAAAGAGTCGGTCCCCAGTAGTTTTAGAGTACCAGAATCCTCACAAGTTCAAATATATTTGTTTTTTTTGCCGCCCTCAGGTATTCAAATGGAGTGGAGAGAACACCTATTTCATCAATGGAGACACCAGCTCTCTGGAGCTTGGAGGTGGAGGGTGAGTGAATGTTTGGTTTTCAAATCATGTAGGGAACTTCTTGGTTTTTTAAAATTAAAATAGGGACAATGGTAGTTGCAAGAAAAACTAATCAGTAAAATGGCTTTACTTTTAGTAAACTGTTTAGGGCAGATGCCTCAGCAATCTGATTTCTGTTACAGACCCAGAGCAATGTCCGTTGCTTAAAGACAGTGAATGATGTTAGGCAAGTAGGGTTTGTTGGGTTTTTTTGTTGTTTTGGATTTTTTTAGCTAGGCAAAAACCAGATGTTGTGGGTAGATACATGTCTCATGGCTGAAGAGGTTTGCCACTGGAAGATAATCTCTAATGGCAGTTTTGCCATCAGCTTCTAAGCTTTCTCACATGGTCCCTATTAAATTGTCGTTATTCTGTTGATACACAGAGCAAGGATACAGACAGTGCTTAATTGGTTCCTAAGTTTCAAAGGTCAGTGGGTACGAAATCAAGGGCTAAGGCTATACGACTAACTAAAGCTGACTGCAGGCTGCACCACAGGACATCTGGGCATGGTTTGCCCAGGGAGTGCCTAAACACCCCTCCTCCTACTGCTAAACCAGAAGGGGCCGTGTCCACATCCAAACAGCCAGGGAAGTGACCTGGACATCCACGCCCTGGTGTCGGCCACAGCCACAAACAGCGGTGCAATCAGCCAAATGGCATGGCGGGCTACAGGCACGCGTTCAGTCCTGTGCTCTGCCCCGCTCGCTGGCGCGAACAAAAGCAAGGGGACTGCTCCGCAAGCTTCTTGGCAAGTGCTTTGCCAGGGTTGAGCTCTTCCCATCCGGTCTAAGAGGTCCTCAAAATTACCTAGATTCCTCCATATCAATCCTCTGGTTGTTTGTACAGCTTCCAGTATTTTTACTATGATATATAACCTGAAATTTGTTCTGTATTTCCTCTTTAGTGGTCGGTTTGGCTTATGGTTAGATGCAGATTTGTATCACGGGCGAAGCAACTCCTGCAGCACCTTTAATAATGACATCTTATCTAAGAAAGAAGATTTCATAATACAAGATGTAGAAGTATGGACATTTGAATGAAATACTGACTGCCTTAAGGACTGGATCCATTAGGCACTTAAAAGCTAACTAGAAGGTGCAGGCTGCCTCACAACGTTACACGCTTTTTCCTCAAGTTTGTACCAGAGCATGACTACGCAAAAAAAAATGCAACCAACCCAAGAAAAAACAGAGCTGGTTTTGAGAGGTAGGAAGAGACAGAACAGTAAGAGATCAGTCTGAAGTGTTTTTTACTTCCTCCTCCATCAATGATATGATGCTTATGAAAACATTCATGGTGTATAAGTTGAAAACTTTTTCTGTAACTGTGAAAAAGATCCTGTGGGAAAACTATAACTATCTAGTACATTCCGTGTGTATTTATGTTCGACATACAAATGCTAACCAAAAATAAAAGGTTACTTTACCAAAATCTACAGCATACTGTTTGCCATGGAAAAGAATCAGAAATAGGTGTACACAGCACTTAAGGGAACATGTTTTTTAAATCTTTTTATTTATTGTTATTGTATAGCAGATTTTTTTTTTTTGTGAATGTATTAGCTATGAGGTTTTTTTCTTTTAACATTTCAAATCTACATTTGATAAATAATTACCATTCAGGTAGGTTTCTTATGCATTGCCATTTATTCTGAATCAATTTATTTGATTTCTGAAGTTAATTTTTATATTTTTATTTTGTAAATGAGATTTGGTTTTCATTTTACCCTGATTAGAGAGGGTTTGTTTTCTGGCAGAAACACTTGAGTGCATAATTCTGTTTTGTTTGGGTTTTTTTCTGAGATGAGGGAGAAGGTGGATGGTGCTTCTTATTAACTCTTCTGCCACATTCCTGTTAATAGATTATTATTTTGGCAAGTGTGTGGAGATACTGGGCAAACTGCCACTCAGTATAGACTGTATCAGCTCTGTTGCAGTCAACAGAATTGGGATGGCACGCTCTGAGCATCTGCCCTAGTATTATTTGACTGTTTACGAAGGACATTTCTAAGACAGAATTTTTCTGTATCACCACCAAATGATTCAAAATAAGCCACCCACTGTGCTTTTATGAGCATTTCTCTACAAATTGAACAATAACTGCTTTGTTAGGAGAAAATACAACTGAGATTGAGAAGAATGCTATTTCCTTAACAGGCCAGGTCATGTTAGTGTAATACTTGTTTTCTTAGTAATTATATATATGATTTCCTTCCCAAAAAAGATGTGAAGCAGCAGGCTGGCTTAGTATTTGACAGGCAACGAAATACTCTGCTTTTTATGAAATAATCAGGTACTTTTCCCCCTCCACCCTCAACACTGAAAAGAAAAAACTGCATGTTACAAAACAAAAATTGCAGTAAATAGGAAGAGTGTGACAGAGGACTGGCAATCCTCACTATTTGCTAAAGAATTCTGCTTTCCCATTGAGCTGTGGTTTTGTTTACACAATCCAGACCTAACCAACATCAGGACGCTGTCCTGCCCTTAGACTCGAATGTGTCACGGTCCTGAGAAAGGCAGGCTTAAGAAATGGTAGTGTGCTTCCGTACATTAAACAGTACCAGCCCAATTTTTGAATACTGTTAACTGAGTAATACAATGCAATTTAGTTACTGTTCTTCCCTTTTTGAATAGATTAAAAAGAAAAAAAGGCAGCTGAGTGGTTTTCTTTCAGAAGCATTACTAAATCTTAATTCTGCACAGAAATTTCACAGTCTAAAAAACAACGCTATATACAGTGAGCCTGTAACACGCTGCACGTGAGCTTTTCACACGTCCCTTTGCTGTGGTCTGCTACAGCCATAAATAAAGTTCTTGTTGGTAATGCTGTAAAATATTTTTGGAAGTTGCTAACAGTGTAACGCTTTGAAGATACCAGGAATATCTAATACTGTTTGCTCTTTTAAATGGTGGCAGACCACTTAATTATTAAAAAAAAAAAAAAAAGACCAACAAACCAACCAAGTTCAACATTTTACATACATTTCACTATTGCTACCTACAACTTACTCCATTATATTATCCTTGTCAGAGCATATCTAAACGCTGTGGTCTATATTCAAAACAGTGTTATTCAATCAAAATTCTGTGACCCTTGAAACTATGAATACTGAATATATGTAATGCAGTGCTATCACAATATTTTCAATAAAGGAATTTATGCATTCAGAAACTTGTTACAGATGTTTTCTCTTTTATTCTTGTCTTTTAGTACATTTTAAAGATGAAAGGATGCAACTTGAGTTACAAGTTATGCTGACAAATACCTACGCTTCCCTTCAAAAAGAGAACTCCAGCAATACCATATTTTAGAAACATGGCTAAGGAGATGGGAGCTATTGAGTTGTTGGGGTTGTTTTCATCTGGTATGGCATCTTCTAAAATAGAGCTGTCTTTTGAGTTCACTCAAAGACAGACTGTGACACAGGGCTAAGAAATACCAGTAAACAGTTAAACAGTTGACCTAGTAGTTCCCACTGCTTCTCTCAGCTGTAGTGAATGACATGTATTCCCTCATCTTTTTTGACCAAGCTGTTCCCAAAAGTCAAAAGTCTGTGTACACCATATTTGTGTGCACCCTTTTTATGCTGCGAAAGTGTTCATGTGGTTTTCTTTCTGTCCAAACAAGACAAAGGCATACAATGTCTTAAAAGTACTTGGTTCTTGACTTTCGGTTTTATGGTATGCAGAGGTGGCGTTAAAAGAAAGCAAACTATGATTACACATGAAATGGAACAAGGATGCAATCTGTGAACCTTGCTTTGAATGAAATGGTGGTAAGAATTTTCTTAATGTAAAGCAAGAGGAAAATTATGGTCATTAGTAATTCCTTCTCTCGGAGAACAAAAGCTTATTCTTGCTACAGGAAGCATATATACTTCAATGGTACTCGGGTAAAGATTTGTGATTCAGGGCAGTGTTGAAATGCTCATTTGCAATAAGGCTGTAAGTACCCAGCATGTTCCATTTGGTGCTGGTTTCAGTGCAGTTTTTGCACCAGATGTTTTGTATGAAGCTGGCTTTAGAGCAAAGTAAACCCAGTTACTTTCAGAATAGTCCTTATCTGTAAACTTTGAAGATTTCACTTGTCCGTAGCAGAGAAAAGGCGTGGGTTAGCTCGTTGCAAAGGGAGTGCCTTGCCTTCTGCAGGTCAGCAATTGCTGGCAAATGCACTTCTTCAGGTAGAATAGCTAACCATGTCCTGTTTGTACAAGCACAGCTTGCATGCTCTGAAAGAAAGGCATTTTTGAAAAACCTCATTCTAAATTTGCAATTGGTTGCCTCTAAACAGCATATCCTGTTGTCTGTGGGAGAAACACTTTGTGCCATTGGGGCTGCACAAAGAACACAAACATTGAAATTCTGTCATCAGGGATTCTGCAGCTCTGCAACTCCAGTCAAATGAAGAGTGCAAGCAATTTAAAATACAAATTATTAAGAAAACATTTTTAGAAGTTGAAGGTTTGCAATCACTAGATGGCCTTGAAAGGTCCCTTCCAACCCAAACTGTGCCGTGATTCGAATGAGCTCAGACTGCCTTCACGCAGTTTTCTCCCCAGTTTGCACCTTTTTTTAGTGAACGCACGTGCTGCCATGGATGCTTCAGGGGCCGCAGCGCTGCTGCAGCGCACCGAGGCCGGCGGGGCGCGGCCTGTCCCGGGCCGGGGTGGAGCC